GTCTATGTATACATGTATATATAAGCTCCGTACTCGCAAAGTATCCTATCCATCTCTCTTTTCCCTCAAGGAGGGGGAAAGGAAATAAATCAAAGTTACAAGGTGATACACGCTCAAATATCACTTCCCTTTCTTTTCCCCCTCCCCACCCAACTTCACGTGTATACATGTACGTAGGGAAATCCATGGCTAATATTATTTCGTTAGAATACAACGTACGATGTGTGGCGCGTCGGGGGGGGGGGGGGGGCTGGCGTTGCATCGCTGGAGGCAACCGAGGGAAAAACGTCAGCCCCGAAGAAGCCGGCAATAAAGAAAAGACGTGGGGCTTTTCGAATTCCCGGAACGAGCTTTTCCACCCGCTTCGCTGTATGTATGGGTGTGCGTGCACGAGCGCGCGTGTATATAAAAGCAAAAACGACGCTATGTACGCGCATCCTCACCTATACATATATATATATGTACGATCGACTGGTACGACCCATAGGGGTGAGTCCACGGAAAATTATCCATTTGGCGGTTCTTAAAGAATTTATCCCCACGTACAACTTCTTTGGAACTATGGTTGTAAGTATTTATCGAACCTTTTAAAAAAGTCCTCGTGACTCGCTTTTCATCCACACTTTTTGGAAAAAAATCAATTTTTCGTAACAAAAAAAAATGAAAGGAAACTAATTTGTTTTTTCAATTTTCAAACGAATGGAGCGAGCCATTATTTTTTCTACTCGCGACAAAAATTTTTTCACGAAACCGCTCGTACGCAGCCTTTATTTCCACGCCGAAAAAAAAAAAAAAAAAAACAGAAAAAAGAAAAAAAACAGAGCAATCACAGAAGATATTCCGAGGCAGCAAGCGGAGGCGAGGACATTTAAATCTGAATTTACGTCCAAGTAGCATAAAGTACGCGCGGCCGAGCTCTATTTCTCCGACCCCCGAGTTCGCTCGTCCCTCTCTCTCGATATAATTATCCCCTGTTGCACTGGTCGATTTTCCCCCTCTCCCTCCACCCAACCATCCCCGCACATCTTTTTCTTCCCTTCACGGCGCTTTAATTTTTATTGCTCCGCCCAAGCTGCGGTCCACCACCGCGTGGAAGATGGAAGAGTCGCCCCGCTGCAGCTTCCGTCAACCAGTGCCGCAAACCCATTTGTTTTGTCAGCTCCGCGGCTCCCCTTCATTTTTAATTTACCATCCCCCAAACGTGCGGAGGACTCCACACCCTTCCTTCCCTCGAGGGGGGATCGCAAAGCAAGCCTTTGACCAGCTACAGCCGCTCCTGTCTTTTGATGATGACCCCCCACCCACCCACTCGTATACCTCTGCTGTGACTTTGTGCGCGAAAGATGGCTTCCTCCTCTCTCAATCGGCCTACTTGGTCCCAGAAGGGGCAAGCCGAGACGTTATCTCTTCCAGGATCCCGGTAATCCGCGAAAGGACTCGGTGGATTCTCGTTTTAACCGAGAGGGACCCCCCGGTGCTCTTCCCGGGGCTTAGATCCGATGCAGATCCCCGGCAGTCCCGTGTACTCCTGTGTGCCAAAGACAGCCGAAATCCTCCCCTACGGCGCCCCTCTTAGCACGGCTCGCGTGCAGGTACGCCGTACAGTCCGGACAGGTGCAAAATTGAGATTTCACCCCCGGGACTTCTCACCCCCCCCCGCCCCCCTTTCCTACCTGTGCAAGGGTGCGGGAGCTGAATTATAATACCTTGATAAAATTGCGCGCCGGGCCAAGACAAATGTGCGCGTAATCGGCCTCTGTTTGCGATATACCCGTTCCCTGGCCTATAAGTATGTGTATAGGTACACGGTGCTTCGCGCCCCGCCGGTGCATATTGTATGCTTACGCCGTGGAATGTACTTTCTAATCCGAACGAGTGAAAGGTCCATTAATTTTCTCACCGAGGGGCGGCTTTCGCTTGCGGATGCCCCTGGAACACGAAAGATGACGAAACGCGTTGTTCGCGCGTCGAGTAATTTCTGGATTATTAAAAGGTTTTTTTTTTTTTTTTAATCCATGTGTAATGATTGCCTGGAGAAAAATTATACTCGACGAGAATCTTTCAACTACTCAGTTTTTCCTTTTTTTTTTTTTTTCACTGAAAATTTGTTCAATGTATCATCAGTGGCTGAACAATTTTTCCATAGCCCGAATCATGAATAATACTTTGAAAAATAAAAGAAAAGCATCTCGATGGATTTAAAAGTGATTACGTCTACCCGTGAATAGAGAGAGAGAGGATGAGTGCGTGTGGGTGCCTTTTTTTCACCCTCGTCCCATTGGTGTACACTTCGTCGCGGATGAACTAGGATTTTGCCGTCACTAGTTTCGTTTCTTTTTACTCCCTGGCCTCGACGCATCGCTGTCCCAGAAAATTTCTAAGAAGCTCCGGTCACTCTGTCCACGGGAGGAGCTTTCTTTTGAATGAAACCCAAAGACAATCGGACCGCTCGATGGAATCGACTCTTTTGTCCTGCCGCAAAAAGGATATACCACCAACATGCCTACTCAAACGTACCGTACAAATTGACAACGGAGCGATTCGATTAATCGAGCTTTACAATCCTCTTTTGAGTGGAAAAAAAAGCGCGAGTGGCCAAAGCTCGAAAGCTTTCGTCAAAAATCACGTGTAATCCGTACGCGGCACCTGCGTGGAAACGCCACTCTGACCCTTTTGCATTATCTAAGCGAAAAGCGATCGGATCGAGGCAGATTACAGTTGAGAGGGTTTTGAAAAATGTATGCACGCGTAAGCCGGAGACTTTCGGGGAATCGAGAAAAAAAAAAAAAAAAATGGCACTCGCTCACCGTCGTTTGGCACTCTCTGCTCGATCCGCCCGGAAATTTTTAATCTCAGCCGCGGCATTTGGCATGGACGAATTTTTTCCGCTTTTTTTTCTCCCTCCCTCCACTCGCATAAATATGCCACGTCGAGCACGCAAGCCGGACGCGAGAATAATTAATCTCGAGCCCCACCCGGTGATCCCTAAATTGTTTCAAGTTGTTTACACCGCACACGCTCCAATAACTAAACGCAAATGGAGAACCAAAACTCAATTTGGAGCGACGAGTGCTACGTTCCATCGTCTTGTGCCATGATTTTTCATTGTTACTGCCCAAAATGTAGTACAAAATGAGATTGGCAAGAGTAGTTTTTTCCCTCTCTCTCTATGAGCCCAAGCCAAACGAAGAGCGCGGCGCTTCGAAACATCAAATCACGATTGCCGAATCAAGCGTAGCGAGTGAGTTGATAACGCAAATCGCCCTGGTATAGCCGGCAAGCATTTTCATTTGTTCGAACGCACGGGAGCGAAACCCTTTTATCGAGCTGCATGCGTGTACATGTGTACATAAGAGTCTAATATCGGGTTGTCGGGTCAAACGTTTCGCGGGGCCATAAAATAAATAGCCGAGCGGCCGTTCCCTCCTTGCTCTCCCCATATTTCGACCTGCGCTCCGCGGAGTTATTCCCCGTCGTAAATTTTCACGCCGCCGACATCGCCGTCTCCGCAGTCTATTGTGTGCGCAATGCTCATCGACCCTTTTTTTTTTTTTTGCGCCACATGTACACGTACCTGTATACACATCTGACGTGGGTTTTTTTTTTTCTTACGCGCGCGTGGCACTTGGCTGTCGCGTACTTTTTCCCTTCCGGAGCAACGTAGGCGGAAGGCAAATTGATATCGATAGCCCCGACTGCGCGGAGCTGAGGAATAAGACGAGGGGGTGGGAAGAGACTCTCGTCAACTGGAATGCAGCTAAAAAAAAAAAAAAAAAGCAGGCCGGAGGAAAAAAACGAACAAATGACAAGTTACTATAAGCGTGTTTGTATATATAGAGCGCAAAGTCTCGCGCTGCGGAATTTATGTCCCAGCTCGTTGATTCTGCCCTCCCGCGCGGAGATTTGAATTATGTGACTCGACTCTCTGTAGTTATATGTACACGCTTCGTTGTATCGGATTCGACGCGCGTTTTTTTTTTTTTTTTTTTCAGCATTTTCTTCGCGTTGATAGAAAAAACATCGATATCTGCTCTTGGCTTGAATATTGTCGTCGCAGCGTGTACACCGATAATACAATCTTGCAATTTATGTAATTGAAAGTTAACGTATATTGGGGTAGTGACCCGGGATGTATGGTCAATTTGTAATGTCAATGGGAATGAATAGGTAAACATTTGGGGAACACGTTTGTGGCTGATGAATCAACATTTCGAGCAACGAGTTTAATCAAGGGCTGGATATTACCGCCGCACGTTTCTAAGTTAATTAATGTCAAATGAAGACGCGCAGGTAGCGCGATTTATTCGGGCATTAATAGCACTTAAATAACAAACTTCGACTGCTTATATATAATTATTAAGTGGTACGAAAATTTGGGTGCAAGTAATTGGTTTGCGCATCCTCTCATCCCTATACACAACGATGTACCATACGTACACAGTGTGTAGTAACGTTGGCTGTATAGCCCCGGGATTTTCTCGGCGAAAGTCAAACACACGTGTGTCGGGGTGACTTGGAATTATACCGTTGTTTACTTAGCGGAGCAAGTTTCTTACCGACTTACCAATATTGAGACCCGTAATCTAGACTTGACTTTCCTCGTGATTCGTCCTTTGACTTGAAATTACAAGAGGGGGTGTTTCCGTTGGGGAGTCTCCATCGTCGACAAGAGCGAGCTTTGTTGATTTTCGTGCATCGTAAATGACCACTTGGCATAGAATTTGCGCAATATCATCAATGTAGTCCCACGAGTTGAATTTCAAACGGAATAGCAAACAAATGAATATTGTTGTTTGGCTCTGTGCTCAGGCGGTGATTCTGTTGTAGCGTCTCACTGGGGTGGGTGTGTGTTGTCATTCGCGTGCACCGCCACTCGTGAATGAAAATATATTCTCAAACGACTCGTTGCGTAATTTAACGATGTTGGGGCAACAGCAACAACAAAGAGGAACGAGAGCAGTGGCTTTTGTAAACATCAATTTTTTATTCGTATTTCACATATCATTTGATTTTACATAATAAATAACAGTCAATGAATCAACCGTAGTCATGTATATATATATATATAATATTTTCGTATCATGTATATATATATATATTTAAATGAAACAACCAAAGGTTCGTTTATTTTCACGCTTTTTCGTTAATATCCCATCGGAACGGTAAAAAATTGTTTTTCCCTTTTGTTTTTTTTTTTTTTTTTTATGTTATTTTCTTTCTTTTTCGTACCCGCTCTGTTTTCCCGCGATCTCGTACTCGATCGAGAAAATCAAGAGATCGAACGTTACACGCGACTCACACGTCTGCGGACCAAGACTAGCCTGTTCTCAAGCTGCGCTCGGCATACGTAGGGTACCGGAGAAAAAAAAACTTCATATCCGGATCGAAAAAAAAAAAACTCAAACGTAATCTCATTGCGGGTCTGAAAAAAAAAAAAAAAAAATGAAAAAAAGAGAGGAAACCGCGAAAAACTGTTATTGGTAAATTGTCGCGATGGCCGACGAGGATAGTGGGTGGAGGGACCGACCGCAAGCTCCCTCCTGCGCAGCGCAACAATCTGCTGGCCCTCCCCTTGGGGCAGTGGCAGCGAGAGTCCGCGCGGAGTTGGCTCAGTGGCGATGATTGCGAAAGGCGAGCAGCGTTGCCAGCATCACTACGAAGGGTGGATTGCTCAGCCGGAGCTGACCGCCGTGTTGCATCGCCGACGTGTGCTCACCTGCAACATACACAATCCGTATACAACCATACACGTATACATATATTATTGATGCCTGCAAACAATTTAATGAACCCTGATGTGTCGATCACGTTGAGGAGGGGGGGGGGGCGATTTTTCAGATTTTGGTACAGCTGGCTGTGCTTGGTATAGCAAAAGGGAGAGGGAAGCTTTTTTCATCCAAGCCTTTTTTTCAGTACCCACCCAGGTAATTTGCATTCGATCGTGCTCATTTTTGGTGGGCACCTACTTTGGTCTTTGCAAGAGAACGTTATGGCTTGTAATTGGAGAGGTTTCGTTGGAAGGGGGGTGGGAAAAAAAGAAAAATTCTCGGTACTTTAGCGCTAAACTCGAAAGAAAAAAAAGTAATTACTTTTTTGCCCCAACTTTTTGAATTTACGTGTTACCCACGGCTAGTGTGTTCCAGTTAAAAGTTGTGCATCCCTTTGAAATGCAACTTTTGCGCTTTGTAATTTTATTTCTCTTACAAGTCAAACGGGCGCTCTAGATTAGAAATCCACAACAAATTGGTGAGCTTACAAAGACGTTTCAGAACTTACGTAGAATTACGTAGTGCTTTGAAATGGTGAATGTAAGTGAAACAAATGACAAAGAAATAACAATAGATGAAGATTGACTTTCGACAACATATAGTACTATACGCGAGAGTTTTAGATTCTAAAAAATTTCACTTTTATTTTCTTGAGCAATTTTTTCTATGATCAAAACAAAAAAAAAATCATTATGCAGCAAATAATATTTTTACTCTGATAAATAAGATGTATGTCATGTACACAAGCATATTTTTTTTTTTTTAATCTAACAAGGTGTTTTTTATTATATATATATATATTTGACATCGACACAAGAAAGGAAAGTTTCTTATTTTATTTAACTAGAATCTTTTTTTTTACTTTAAAAGGATACTGAAGTTTTTTTTAAAAAGCTGTATTTTTTTTTTTTAACCTATACAGTTGCCCGTTTTTGGAGCTCGCATGGCGGAAATACGGCAGAAATGCTAACGATGTTGTTAGCCGCTGTACTAACCACTTTTTTTAATTAAAAAATAAAGACCATACCCACCTATAATGTTAATTTTTTGTTCCCTTTTCAATCAAAAAAATGTATAGGGTATACATTTCAAATTGGCAAAATAACAATGTATTTTCTTCCTTTTAGTCATCGCGTGTATGTTTTAACCAGCGACAGGAATATTTGTTTTTTCAAAATTGAAATTCACTTGTAATTTAAAATACTCATACATATAGCTTTCATTTTCCAGGCATCCGTTTATCGATGCAGCTAATTTCACAGCGCTCTCTTTGTTCTTTCACTTTTGACCAATTAATCACGTGACAATACACTTTATGAAACGGCACGCCCGGAGTTATTGCATACAGCGGACCTTTTTTAATAGAGTAACTTTTGCAATGTAATATTCTGTAATAAAATCCAGGAAGCAATTTATTTTTCATTCATTTGTTTGAAACCTCTTTGAGGAACTTATTGCAATTGTTCACATGCTATAAAATTAACAGACTCCCTTTCCCCACTCGAAAATTTCGATCGGCGTAATAAACTAAAAAAAAAAAAAAAAAAAAAAAAAGAAAAACCTTCACGATGCCCTACGAGCCCAGGAAAAAAAAAAAAAAAAAGAAAAACCTTCACGATGCCCTACGAGTAAAAAAAAAAAAAAAAAGGAACCAGTACTCTGTGTTATCTCTGTTTGCTTAAAATACCAGCGGATCACGTGCAGCGCATCCAAAATAACGGCCCTTTATTGATCATCCGACTCGAGGCTCACCAAGGATCAGCATACATCGGAGCCATCGCGATAACACCGATCCGATGATACACGTATACGGAGCCGTCCCCTTCGAGGCCACTACCGGCCAAATTTTCATGCCTTTGGAGAGACCCGCCTGATGGCCATTAAGTTCACGGAAGCTTAGGCCCAGGCCACTGTTGTATCTCCGAAAGAGATTAAACGGAGGCTACACGTATAATGTACTTACCTATACCCCCGTCTTCTTTTTATCTGGGCATTCGTATCTGTATGTACACACCATCGGTCAATAAGAGGAGAAAAAGCACGAGGGAGGAGGGCAAAAATATCGGAAATTCTTCGGGTCGCGAGCAGCGTGAGCCTCTTAGTCCGAACCTCACCTCAGCACACACTCACACACACATACACGTTATATCGTACACTAAGAAAGATTTTTGCTCAAGAGCTGTACGTTGCACTGCATGTGTATTATACATGTATAGGTACACGGAAAGAGGAGCACACCAAGTGGTCTTTAAAAGCTCGCCCTTTTGTGGGGCGCGACCCTCCAAGTCCCCCCAAGTACGTGTATTTTTCGGGGAAATTGCCAGGAAAGGATAAACCCGATTCGGTGGATGCTGTATTTTTTATACACGTGTTATCATCATCGTCGCGAGCAGACGGCCGTTTTTCCCGAAAGAGCGAGCACAAGATGGTCGCGAAGAGCTTCCCTTTGAAGGCTCGATCTCTCTTCCCTATCCATTCGACAGAGGAAATAACCGCCTTTTCAGCTGAAATACACGTTTCCTTTTGGCTTCCCTTTCTTTTTCTTTCTTTTTTTTTTTTTTTTTTTTATCGCTTTTTTTCCTTTTTGATTAAAAAAAGAAAGAGAGGACCCACAGCCCTCGTGGTTTCGCAAACAAGCCATCCTTTGCGGGGCCGTAATTTCATGTAAATGTGACGAAACAACCCTGAGCACCGGCAGCCGCTGCATAATACAATAATGTCGCGACCGAATTAGCCGGCGCGCGTGTCTCTCGCGCTCATAATACGCCCACCCGAGGAAAACACAAACGAAATTTAGCCTCCCCTCGACGTAAGGTCCGACCTTCTCTGTCCACGTGGTCGTTGATCAAAGGGTGTAGCGTTGACGGGCCCCCCCCAGAACAAATGTTGCGTCCTTCGTCCGAGTAAACGATCCGCATATACATGTACAAAGTGGGGCACGATTTTTCAAAGCTCGCATTACGCCTGGCATATTAGATACCTACGCGTGCACGGGGTATACCTGTATATATAACGGCTGGCGCACGCCTAACAACGTCATTTACATTCGGATGTGTATACGGGACGTGGGGATCGTTTTATCATTTCCCCATGATTTCATCGCGAAATATCTCCTCGCCATTCGTCTTCCGCTCTACTGTGTGTACGTCGTACGTGTACGTGTATACATAGGGTCAATATTTTAGAGGGGAAAAAAAAAAAAAAAAAAGAAAAGTTCCAGAGTCGAGAAAACCGGTGCTTTTGCTGCTGGTGGCGGTTGGACGGACATTTTTCAGACCACCACAATACATCTCAAAGGTAAACCGGGCGCTTTTACGGTGTGTCCTTTTCTTCCGACAGGTGTCCGGGCTGGATCCCCGAGGACTAATGGTTCGCCGAAAGATGATTCCCCGGCAATCCTTCTCCCCCTTTTGTTCCCTTTCGCTCTCTCATTCATATTCTCCGTGAAAGCTCATTTTTACACCCCCCCAGCCTAAGGAGGATCGGTGTGCTAAATAAACCGTCTTTCCTTTTTTTTCCCACGGCATGCATCGGTAAAAAAATAAAAACCGCCTCTTTTGCCCTTCATCTTGCCCCCTCGTAAAATCGCCGAGGTGTATCATCCTGAGGAGCATAAACAGCTTCCGGATGGTAGGGCGAGCGATTGGACAGGGAAAAACAAAAAAAAAAAAAAAAAAAAAAAAAACAGCGAAAAGGGCTCCTCGTATAAAAAAGCAGAGTGTACGATATAAACCGGATTGTTTTAAATAACAAAGCAGCGCATCGGAGTCGTAAAGAGGAGAAAACAAGACCGCGCCCCCTGGACTCGATCCAAAGAGCTGCGAGGAGCACTTACTCTCCAACCCCCTTAACGTATACTTGCACGCGGAATTATTCAATCCTCGAATCGTTCAATTATTTAAATCGCCGAGCGTATATATGTGTACGTGTGTATAGAAAAAAAAAAGGGGGGGGCACCGTGGGCTGTAATCTTTCCGGCTCCTTTGTTGCGCGGAATAAATAACTCTCGGATCGTTAAGCCGGTGCAGTTTTTTCCGTAACGCGAAGAGTCGCTTTGTTTGGGAAATTTTTCGGTTCACGCGAAAGAGGATGAAACGCTGCTGATCCCACTTAACATCCAGAAAGAAAAATCAAGCCGACAGGAGGAGGTGAGCTCATTGGGAGTCTCGGGGTGAATCTTGGCTTAGTCGCACCATGCGCGAGCAGAGAAAGGAGGAGGGGTCGTTGGGTGCAGGGGTCGGAGGGAGTGGTCGGTAAAATAATTGGAAGCTCCTGGCACCAGCAGCTATAGAGGAAGGGGAGGTGGGTGTGATAATATACGACGTGAGCCACGCACCATTTAGCACGTGGACCGTGACGGTTTTTGTGTTGGCGTTGCTCGGGTGGCAGGTATACTTTCCGCTGTCGGCCGGCTGGGCCCGCTGAATCAGGAGGTACGAAGTCGTCTGCTCGCCCTTCTCCGTAATCACCGACACCCCGCCTCTCGGGCTATCGTAATTGATCTCCTGTGAACACACACGTACATATACATGAACACATATAGATGAAGAGGAAGAAAAATCCAAAAATATCTCTCTCTTTTTTTTTTTTTTTTTCGACCGCGGCTGACTTTCCACACCAGTGGGCGTGCGGCCTTTTTTTTTTTCACCCGCGATAAGAGGGAACGAGCAGCTCTTTCGCTTGTTATTATCTCTGCGGTGTTCGGCTCGCCCTTCCGTTCTCGTGCGCCTGTATCCCTTTATAGTGGCGTAACCGCGACGAGAGCGATCGTCGACGCACACCCCTCGCACTTTCGGCCGGTCCGTTTTTGCGCTCCTCTAATCGGCAGGTGAAAATAAAAAGCGCATAATCTTCTTCCACCCGTCTTTTTTTTTTTTTTTTTTTTTTTTTTTTCAAAGAGAACTTTTCTGCTTTGCCGTACGGATAACGTTGTAATGTATAATATGCCTTTGAGTCGGTCGCGGCGTCCGTGTATCCGAGTTTTTTCTGCGCTTGACAGGTACGTATTTTTCCACGTGATGCGCGTCCCCAGGGATACATCGCGCGTGCGATCGTAAAAAGTTTTCTTGTCGGGCGAGCTCCGTCCCTGTCGAAGGATTGACTTTTAAGTTTCGGTTACTTTTCATGCGTACGACCATACGGAAGGAAAGGAGATGTGCGTCTCGACGACGGTCATTGAGCGCAAAAGCAGAGGTGTAAAAGGCCCGGACGAGCCGTTTCCTCGGTCTTTGAGGGCGAATGAAAAATGCGAGGGCGCGCGGCTCGATATCTTACTCGAGCGATCGACGGATGGATGAGTATCGTAAAAGAGCTTCGTGGCGCAGAAAGTGAGAGAGAGACTTTTCGAGCGGGCGATGGAGTTTTTTTTGACTCGGCGGAAGAGGTATCGGGTTTGTACGGGTGAGCTCTTTGCGAAAAGGGGGAAACATTCGTGCAAGCGTTTTATTGAGAAATGAGGGACTGGGAAAATTTTGTCGCTCCACGAGGAAGAGTTTTAAGATAAGCGAGGCGTATTTGTTTTTCAAGCTCTGGTTGATGCCAAACACGATTAAAGCGGGGATTCGGGAGGGCATGGGGAAAAATTTTTATTTTTTACAATAATTTGTGAAAGGATTGCATGGGCAACGATACGTGAGTGTTCAATTAAGAAGATTACTTTAATATGAAAAAAAAATTGCGTTATTATGATTCTTACGAGAAATTCCGGACGGATGATGTTTCGATAACTAGTGGAAAAATTCGAGTTTCGTCAGACTAGGGGAGAAAAAATTGAAGCATGCCAACAGTTTTTATACATTTTTACTTTTCGTGTGTTGTAATACAAAATTAATTAAAATTAATGAATCTCATGCCGGCGTTTTACTATTTTACAACGTTACATCGTAAGAAAAACATTTGATTTTTTTTTGAAGTTTTTTTTTACTCAAAATTAAAAGTTTAATTTAAAATTTTTACGACGAGTATCAGTTGTGAAATTTTTCAACGTTACAAACTGACAAGAAAACGTAAGATTATGCTTTTAAAAATTTCAGTAGGAACGAAAAATAAATATTTGAGCGAGTAAGTAGAAAAATGCGATTTTCGTCAGACCTGCAGAAAAAAGCCTGTGTTTACCGACAATTTTTAATTTCACCTTTTTTCTCTTGGTAACTTGAAGTTCAAACATCAAAATAAATCCAACTGATGGCATATTGACTAAATTCATAAGCTGAACCTGAATTTGAAAAAAAAAAAAAAAAAAAAAAATTAAAGTTTTCCTCGAAATTTTAATAGGTTGCCGGTGTTTGATACGTTAAAAAACTCAAATTAATCCAGTAAAATTGATTCTTTATTTTTAATGAAACAGTGTGATATCGACGACAAACATTCAAACTTCAAGTGGAAAAATACCGCTTTGGTCCGACGGGTAAAAAAAAATTCAAAACGTACCAACGGTTATGCATTTTTTGTTGCTTTTGACATGAGATTCTTTGAAAATTAAAAACAATCGTATATCAGTTTCTGCGTTTGTTGCACGATAATATTTCCTCATGAAAAAAAAGGTGCACAAAAGGTCAGTCTCGCGGATACACGAATCAATAGCCGTATATAATACCTATTAATAGCCCATGCAATGAATATCCACCTCAGCCAGGTACAATAGCAGCGCACACAAATGCAAAGACAATAAAGACATAATATATCCACCGCGTAAAAATAGAATGTATAGTAGATGGACTGACCTGCTTGTCGTGCGTCCACACGATGGCTCTCGGTGGCTCGGGGCTAAACAGTACGACGCAGGTTAGATTCATCGTGCTGCCCCGGTCGATGAACATCTCCGCATCCCCCAGGATCTTCGTCACAGGCTCTGTTGGCAACACAACGATATATTTCTCCCTTTTTTACTCCTTGATTTTTCATTATTCACAAACTATACTTGCGCACGGCCACTGCGCGAACACGCCCCCAAAGCGAATCTCACCCCTATCCCCAACCCCCGGGTGTTTGCTCGCGCGTATGCCCGATTGTCGGATTTATATTTTAGAGTCTCATCTTTCCTCCGTGCCCGCACCGGCTCTTTCAAAGCCATTACTTCACTTCCATTCGGCCATTACTTTTCACACGCCATTTCAGCGCTTTTTGATTTGTTGATTTCGCGCATACAGCTACACACGCCCGTAGGCAAACAGTGTACCAGCAGCGGCTCGTAAAGCTCCACGTGAAGCTGTTAACGTCTAGTCTAGAAAAATAGTCCATTTACCGATTTTTCTTTTTTTTTCTTTTTTGTTTTTGTTTTTGTTTTTTTTTGTTTTTTCTACACTTCCCCGAATACACAAATAACAAACATTCGATGAAACACGTCGACGCGGAAATATTTCTTCCCCCCGAACAACAGCCGCGCAGCCGACCTGTATATGTTATGTTTTTTTTTTTTTTTTTTTTTTTCTCTACCTCTCACGTCCCGGTGGAACAACGCGCACAGAGAATAATTTGATGGACGTATCGTACCCGCACCCGTTTTCCCTCGATTGAAGTGCACTCGGGTGTGCGCGTGCATACGTGCTCCTCTCGACTCTGCATGGCTCATAACATCGTGTACGAATATCGGTATAGTCGTATCGCTAGTACACACTTTGGAAAGTAATACACGAAACGTAGGATATTGATTGGAGGAAGAGCATTGCAATCGGAGCTGCTGTGTACACGCACTTTCAAGAGACTCTGCCGGACACCCTGTAGTAGTGACGAAAGCGCCCTCGTATCAAAAAGGACAGATAAGTTAAATATTGTGCCCAAAAGATGGTCCAAGGGAGGGATCTTGAAGCTTCTTTCATTGTTTTGTTCCGCTCGTAAATATAAAATACACTCGAGCAAATGTAATCTATATGCTAAATCTCCCGGGGCAAAGTTGGCTCGAACGAGGCGAAAATTTCTTACGGGGAGGGGGGCTTCGTTGGCTCGCCAGCCAAGTCTTTGTTGTGTGTGTACACAGCAGCGCGAAGAGGGTGGCTTTTTTTGCCTCTCTGCCGAGAAAACGTACGCGACCCGCACCGCCGGCTTGATGCGCTTAGCTCCGTGTATACACGTCGGACGGACCCACACAACTTGTTTGTGGAAGCCAACGCGAGGTAGGTAACTGAATCGTTTGTACATGGGGTTGCACACCACGAGGGCCAGGTAGAAAGTATAATACACGCAGCTCGGATTGTTTGTCCCGCGAGTCCAACTCGAGAGTCGAAATCATTGTGGTTTGGATTATGGCTCGCCGAAGCCTCTTAGCCTCTGCAAAAAGTTACTACGTACCAATAACGTCCACGAGCACTTACTTTCAACGAAACAAACACGCGTTCCGAGCTGTGTACACGAATGAATTGTTTCGAAATTCAGCCGAGCAATGCACATGGCGAGGGTCTGGATGTTGGGACGAATTTCGCGCAACCTTGTTTTCCTCTCCCAATATCGCCGAGCAGAGCCTCCGGGAGAGCATTACTTCCACTTACCCCCTTAGCGAAACAAAATGTTCCAGTTATACCGGGGACACTTTGTACCCATCTACGCGTACCTCTTCCCTCGCGAACTTGGCAAGCGCCGAAAGTTACGGTGCACGTCGCTCGGCGTGCTGCACAATGCGCGCACGTTGTAATCGCGCGTCGGGGGGAGGGAGAAAATTTTCCCGGGAGCCGCTGAAATATACGAGCGCGTTTGTATCCATATTCCGTTCTCTTTGAGGAAAGACGCGTCGCGCGAGAAAAAAAAACACCTACAGTCTTTGCAAAAAGTGTAGGGGGGAGGGGGGAAACAGAACGCGATGGAGTAAGAAATGTTTTTTTTTTTTTACTTTTAGTTTAGGTACAAAGTTGGTTACGCCAGCGTCGCGATAAAGTTTGGACAACCGCGAAACGTCGTCTTTGCAACTCCTCCTCCTCCTCCCACTTGTCGTGTATAACACAACGATGTAACCCCGTGAAAGAAAAACAAAAATTCAGAGCGGCATAAATACGAAATCCAGGCTATCCGGGCTCCATCTGTCACCGGGGGATCTTGTGTTTTTGCGCTACGAGTCGTTACCCTACTGAAATCTCCTCGTTAATCACTCCCAGCCGAACCCTTTTAATTTACAATCCGAGAAGGAGACGGAGGAAAAAAAATAAATCATCCCCCTCCGCTGGCGTATATCCGTACGTCTCGTTATGAATTGCAGGGGGACAGCGAGGCGGAAAAAAAAAAACACAGACGGGGAATAAGTTTTTCTTTGAAATAACGAGAGCCGTTTGAGCGAGCGTTTGCGCGCACTCGCCCAAAAAGCGCGGGGGACAAAGGAGGGAAAGAAAAAGAAAAGAAAAGAGTGAACCGACCGACGACGGAGAGGTGCATCGAGTGTCCGATGGGCGGCGTCGTCGAGACCTGGCACTCGTAAGTCCCGGAGTCGCGCTGCTGGGGCGACTTGACCTGGAGCGTCCAGTCCTCGGTGCGCGGGTAGTGCGACGCCACGAACCTCTGGTCGGACGTGTAAGTCTCGGTGCCCACTGTCAGCAGGTGGATGTCACGGTGCCTCACCCACGAGACCTACAACCAGACAAACAAACAATTCATCGAGTCTTTTCTCTCCAACGCTCGAGCGAGCAAAGCTAAAAATGTCCAGCGCCCAACAACTGTCCGTGCTTACAACAACAACAACAACAACAACAACGTCGTACGTGCAAGCAGTGCCCCGGATAACTTTTCCCTATATACATTACGTTGCACCAGCCGGTCATTTTAAAGGAGCGCACATGACTCCCCACTGCGATGAATCACGTACACCGAGAGCTAGCGAATACCGGGAAAAATTTACCTATAAGCTCAAGATACTTAATAACCGTATATTAATTTGTTTACGGTGTATAAAATTAAATTGCTGATTCCTCGGCAACTGTATCGTGTACCTATAATATAAGCTACACGCACTCGGAGGGGGCTGGAGTATATTATGAACTATGCAACGCATCAGCTCTTGAATACAATTTTCAAGATTTCCATTTGAGGGGCAAAAGTGTTTTTGCCCCAAGTTTTTGGAGGTACGAGGGAGAGCTTTTTGCCCCGTCTTGCGCATAATCTGCTCTCACAACCCGTGGAACGTAGTTTGTGCGCGTACGAGTATATATTTCTTTGTGCATAACGGTGTTGATGTTTACGAAGCGAAATAGGAATCAGGCAGAGGTACGCGGGATACGCTGTATTTATGTACTCGCGCTCGTTTTTACCCCCTACGCGAAGCCAGTTTAAATTATTTGCGAAAGAGCATTTTCCCAAACGATGAGAGTATATGTATTTTCGGTGCTTTCGAATAAACGTCTTATTTTCCTCGTCGCGTGGGTATAAACTCTCCAACGTTTCTCGATTGTACTTCCGTTGGTGGTGAAAATACGAGCTTTCGAGAAAAAACCCCCAATAGGTCGGCCGAATGGTGCCACCGTTAATTCGCGATGGTAGGCACTCTCGGGGCCAGCCAACGTAATTTTCCAGCTCAAAGTGGAGAATATTCTTTGCGCTGCTTTTTGCTTCTTCATTCGCAGCTGCAATAATGGCCAAAGCCGAGTTGAGGTACTTTATATATGTATATACAATACGTACGGTACGGAGGTGAGGTGGAGGGGCGTGTAAGGGCGTCGAGAAACGGCGCAATTATTCTTAACGATTCTCGCACTCGGGTCGTATCAATTATTACTCGGCGAATGGTACTCACGCCAGAGGCAAAGGGGCGGGTGGTAAGTACACCGAGCCGGCTCGTGGGATGAGCTTCGGGAATACGTGTTTTCCCGACGTTAATTGCCTCGAGAGAAACGGGGCAAGAAAGAGCCAGACCCTCGTATCGCCTAATCTGCCTTTCAACTTTCGACTCGCGCGTCCTCCCGCGATTGCCCGCCGGGCACGAATCCCTAATCGCAGAAACGAGCTCGATCGACGTGCAAATTCCACCCTCTCGACGAACAGCGAAAGAGGAAGCATACGTACCTCGCTTTCTCTCTCTCTTTCTTGCTTAATTAAAAAATTCCAGGAGCTTTGGATTCTCCCGCCCGCAAATTGCGCGTAAGATCCTTCCTTTCGCGAACTATTCGCGTTGACCGAGTACTTCGTGCCCCCTTTTGGCGCCTCCCTCCGATACTCCGCGATACGACGGTGAGAGGAGCACAAGTTCCAGACAAGTAGGCGGTCGTTACCTCGTACGTGCTCCTGTCCTTAAACCACGATCGTTAGCAGAGTTTCCGATACCAATCCGATTTTTATCCCATCGCCTTTTTTCCCCCACCGAATAACCCTTAAACGCTGATTGCGCATCGATTCGGCCACGTGGGGATGAATGTACATTTTGATCACCTCCAAACGCGTTGATCTACAAACAAACACGGGTTTCTCTTTTCCGTTTCCCAAAAATCAAAGCGCGGAATCGATGCTACACTTTTAACAACTCGCCGGAGCAAACGTCATTATGGATGCAATAGGTTGCGCTCTAGTTTACCTAATGGGCGCGTAGCTCTCTCTGCGCCACTCAATTGGCCAGTTGATCCTCTATGTATGCGGATCGTGGCAAGGGGGGGGGGTATAATTCCGGAAGCCAGTGAAAAACGCCAAGCCTCTGTTTTCGATCGCCCGAGTTTGTCCGTGTTTTTCGCGCTTATTTCTCCTCGTGGCGCGGCGTGGGCGTCGAATCGAAATTAATAGCTCCTCGATGGGGGGGGGGGGGAGACAAGAGCGCTCTCTAAATATTTAACGAACGGCTGAATTATTCGCTCGCCCGCTCATTGTGCGCCGAGTTAATTTCTACGCTAAAAGCACTGGGTTGAATTGTTGATACTTCCGCCCGATTGGATGCGCGATTTACACTTTTTTTTTTTTTTTTATCTTTTAGTTTTACTTATCTCCCTCTCTCGTTCGAGACATTTGCTAATTAGCCATGATTTTGTCTTTTTCGCAAGTAACTCGAGAAAACAAATCCAAGTGATCATATTCCCGCATGCCTTGTATAGCTTGCAACGTGTGTCTGACCAAACTCGGGTTGTACTACTTAAAATTGGTGCGTGTCATTAAACTCAGAGCAGTTGTTGACCGTTGGAGTTACTTATTTATGGCGCTAACCCGAGAAAAGTGATAAAACGAAAGATCGTCATCGACACCCGTGACACAGGAACGATAAAATCACAAGCAGGTGCACAAAATATATTTTATCGATGACTATGGGTCCTTACAAGTATAAAGAAAAGAAAAAAAAAAATACACAAGTACAGCTGACCAGCCGAAGTCGTGCCCCCGCGAGAACGTAAAATAGCCCATTTCCCGAAAGTGCGAGATACGCGGCGTTAAAATGCACCCGTAAACGGTATCGCTCGCATACCACAGCCGCAAACTTTCCGAGCGGCGCGATTCTTACGATCTACGACTTGCTCGTTAAAAAAAAAAAAGGGAAATAAATATAGAGAACGAGCACGAAGGAGGGTAGGAGGAGGAAAAAAAAGCAGCTACGAGTAACACATCATACTTTACACCTCGGCAACTTTTACAGCCTCCCCTCCGCCGGCATAAAGGAAACCCCATCGTTTCCTGCCACACGGGGGCTTATCACGTAATCCATTTTCCGTGGCCCGCTAGGCTAATTCGTCACGGACGCCTCTCTGTTTCCAAAGGTACTTTACTCTCTCTCTCTCTCTCCCCACCACTTGCGCGTCAGCTGCAGGCGAACGCTCGCGGGGGAAAAGTAAAAAAAAAAAGAAAAAGGGTCGGGCGAGGCGAGCCCTCCACCGACCGAAGATTACTGCGCGGGGGCGCCGAGGAAAATGAGCGGGCTTTCGTTCGCCACAGTTTATTACGAGGGAGCACGGCGTTCCGCTTCCGATTTGAAAAATTACTCGCTCGGAAACAAAAAAAAGAAAGAAAGAGAGAAAGAAAGAAACGGAGGAAGGGTGGGGCCTGCGCCATCAACTCCGGAACAACACACGCTTCCCTCCTCTTTCTCTTTCAAAGCTCCCGCTTTTTATATACTAATTGTACGATGCGCGCTTTTCCTTTCACGAGCCCCCAAATGAGCTCGCGCATAAATGTACAGTGTCAACTGCGTTGACGAATGCTGCGTGTATATCGCATCGGAGAGGCTGACGCGATTGACGAGGACTAACGAGCCCAACCTCTTCAAGTTAAATGGCCGTAACTGGCTCAGTTATGTATGTATACATATACAGGTGAAATTACCGAGTCACCTACGACATTCAATTACTCTCCCCCCCCCCTTGCTGCTTATTACTCCTGCTTGTGTGCAAATCTAATGGGTATATCGTTAACGAGCGATGTAACCAAGTTTTTCACTTACACGTATATATACACGGCGCGCGATTAAATCCCTCGAGGGGACTTTTGGTCTTATTACGAGTTTAATTAACGCGAGGAGGGCGCGATTTTCCCGCTCAAACTTTTACCCGAGTCGTCCGAGCATTAACGCCCGTGTTTGTACATGTAGTGTGTGACTTGAGCAGCTCACAATCGACCGAAAAGAAGAAAAAAAAAAAAAAAAAAAAAAAGACAAGTTGACACCCTGTCGGGGATTAATCGCACCCGGTGACGTTGAAGCGAATCCGTACGCACTACGGCTCGGAGTTGTTGATTAAATCATTCGCGCGTGAAAAATCCAAGGGGACACTTTGCACGAGGGTTATATAATGAGGGGCAGGGCCGGCTGGTGACGCATTTGTTTCGGTCAAAATCATTTCCGCTGGCTTCGACGTCCAATTAATATCTCATCTTTCCTGCAGGGCACCTCCTCTGTACCATCCCCCCACCCCCGGGGGTTTATATGCACTACCCTTCATCGTTCCCGTGATTGATTAACGCTTTGGCGAGTAAACGGACGTTACGTGTGTGCACGCCACTGCCGCTGACCCGCGTCATTGTGCTACCACTGTGTTGTATGGCCGTTCTCCCTCCGTTGTTCTCGAGCGGCTGTACGGGGGACGAGGGTGGGTGCAGGAAATCGAAGTGGCGACCGCAGATGCGATTTTTTTTTTCTCCCTGGTTATGGTCGGAGGGTCGATCGCCGTGTACGGCAGGGGCTCTCGGTCTGTGTGTACAATCGTCCCTTATCTCGAATTAGGGAGGAAAAAATGAGGAATCCGGTGTACATGTGGAATGTCGGAGGTTACGGGGTTTACGGAAATTACTGGAGACAGACAGACAGATAATACCGCGAAACTAAAGAGGTACCTTATTTCTCGAGTGGTTTTCAAAAAATAAAGGGCAGATTGAGGATATTTACTGATTCGATGTTGAACGTTTAGTTTTTTCGGCTATGATGTACGAGTGTTCAGTTGGGCGGTCCAAAGACTAATTAGTGCAAAAATTAAGTATACGTTTCAAGATAGCAACGAAGATAAAATTAGTTTTGTCCATTTTAATTCTCCCAACACTTATAGTTTCTCATGACAATTTTCGTATAAATTTCAATAAGAGAATGTGAAAAAAGGTGATTGTACGATAGTATGCTATTAGTATCTCTAAATAAGTAATAAGGGATCATCCGGACTTTTATCTTTTTCCTTTCCTGTATACACTGCTTGAAAAGCTTCGATGAACGCGTTGTTTTTGTTCTTCGGTTCGAAGGATATCGAAGGAGTTTTTGTTTCCGGAGGGTGCACGGTTAAGCTGAAAAATAGCGCGAAAAAGAAAATCAGAGGTAAAACAGGAAAATAGTATTTCGCGCACACCCCTGCGCTGTGCGCACATACACGTGCACCTAATGAATTTACGGGATCGCTTAATCCCAAGGATTTCCGGCAACGAAAGAAAGAAAAAAAATTCTCGAGACTCGAGTTTATATAATCATTCGAGCTTAATTAAACCGGCTGCAATATTTTTCCTCTTCCACCCCGAGCCAACGAGAAGGAGGTGTTTCATTCAAACAACCCGAAAGTAACAACGCCACTATTTTTCTTTTTTTTTTTTTCCTTCCACATCAATCTCCGGGACTCTCCCGGAGCAAAAGCAAATACGTCATACGGCACCACTGATCGTAAACTCGTGGATCCAAGTGCGCGACACCAATAAAACTGCTCCATTCAAACAGCCACTCGATACAAACATCTCAATGGAAGAGAGTAAAAATTGATCCAAAGATGCTCGCTTACCGTGCGGTCGCCCAAATTGTGCACGCGGCAGTTGAGCTGAGCCGTCGTGCCGACGAGGGCGGTGACATTTTGCGAGGCCGACGGGTCAAAGTAGGGGCCCCTGTCGAGGGTCTGCTGGTGCTCCAAGTGCTGCTCCTCGTCGTCGCTGCGACACCTCGCCGAGCCTGCAACACACATCCCCCATCACTTATTGCGCTATTCGTTATTTATACACAAATGTACGTACGTATGTACCTATGGACAGGCAAATTTAATTTCAGCTAACACCTGTACGCTTATGTGGCCTCTTCGTTGATCAACGCGTATCATACAATTTGGCGAGACGAGTGGATCGAGCTATTAAGAGGTAGATGGGGGTGGGGGGGGGGTTGAAGGAGGCGAGCGCGCGTTAATCGAATATTGCCCAACGCAGGAGCAACTCTCGACATTCAATCAGCCTTTGATTTTGCTCTGCGCGTGCAAATCAAATGCTCCTCTGGATGTACACGGGAAAAGCTGGTGTACGTATAACAGCGCGTTTTGGTACTCTCATTTTGTGTATGTAATTGCAAGCGACCGATGACGACATTTTTTTTTTCCTACCCGATACGAGGCTGCAATGGTGTGGATTACTCGGAGGTAGGAAGGGATGGTGATTTGGAGAGCTTCTATACGTACACTGTCATCGATCCCTTTATGGGTCGCGACGCTGCATTGCAGATACAGTCAAGAGAATTTATTGCAATTGCAGTAATTTGAATGGCGCTGAGTTGTTTTTTTTTTTTTTACCCTTGTATACGTAGCAAAGCAAAGTTTTGCCGATTGGAGCACGAAAGCTTGGAGCGCGCGAATTAGATTTGAGATTCTTTTTTTGCCCCAAAAACCAATTTCCATGTAAAAAAAGTGATGATCAAATTACAAGTGTCGTTGAATCGTACCAACGCGTTATTGCACAACTCCGATGGATCGATGTCCTGAAGGACTCTTGATGTTTTTTTTTCTTTCGGATATCTTCTAAATTTCATCATTAAACAATCAATTCCAGATCAATAAGAAAAGACGATGCAACCCTGATCACGAGGAGTGATGTACTTGAAAAAGAGAATCCCATTAAAAGGAAAAGAGCTTCGTGAATCCTCATCGGTAGGTAAGTGTATAGGTGTACCAACAATGCCCCGGTATGCGTATAGTATATTATCCATACCCAACGTAGTAACCGTAGTCTCGTGCGAGGGCAAGTTGTACACCCATCGATCGAACAGTACAAACATTCCGGGATCCCGTGTGTGCGGGATTGTTGAACGTCAGTCCCGCCGAGCTTGCCGGAAAGTTTGCTGAACGAGGGAACGAAAGGAGAGCGGGGGAGGTAAAATTCCCGACAATTCAATTGCTGCAGTCAAAGAAACACAGAAAAGTCGCGCGTGTGCACACAGACGGGGAAGGTGGAGCGCACTGCACTGGAGCGGGAAGTTGTTAAAATTTAATGCCCCCCCCCCCCCCGCTTTCCTCGACTTATCGCGCACTCAACCGAAATGGAACGGCGGCTCGATCTTTCGGGACATCGCATCAACGTACACACACACACACACACATCTATACAGTCCACGTCGGGGGCGTTCGATTGTTCTCGGGTTGAATCAACAAGTATGTACAAAATCAGGGGCAAAAGTAACACCGGCGCGTTGACTACAGATCCCCAGACGAGCTTGTTAAATTAAGAGGCCAACGACTGGACAACCACACCGTGTACGTATATGTATGGACCAAGAGTCGGGAATATTGAATTTGCGTGCCTTCGACGGGGTGTCTCCGCGTCACTGGTTTTTTTCACGAGCGAGTGACTTGGCACCAGACGCCCGCCTCGTTTTATCTCCACGAGGGCCAAAAAAAACGGGGGTTTGAGGGAGGGGCAGCTAATAAACATGCAGACCAACGTGCGTCCTTTGACGCAGTAGTCACTCGGTCGAAAACAGCCCGTGAGAGTCGACGAACGGAAGAAAGATCATCGAATTGGCCAGTCCTCCCTCCTCTGGGCGAAATCGCTCGGAGAGGGAGGGGGAAGATGCAAAATACGTGAGGGGGTTGGTGCGCACTGCACCGGACGTAACGAATTTTCACGTATGAATAACAGCCGTTGTTACTCGCACGAGGTGGTAGTATGGGCTAGGTAGGTATACATAACGTATGCGTAAACAGGAGAGCGAAGTCTCCTTAAATCACGCGGCTAATGTCCCACCGCGCGCGTCAGAGACCAGAACGAGGAAAGCCCACCGTATATATATACCCTACACGAACCACCCCCCCCCCTGTAGACTGTAGAGGTGTCCCCTATAATAACCGGAGAAAACCCCGGCACGTATAACAAAACGACGACCCTCCCCATACACACACGTGCCCGAGTTTTATTCTCGCGCCTTCCTAACTCGCTTTCCATTACTGCGGAGCACACGCGTGCGTGGATGTGTTTGGGAGGGGGGGGGGCACAGAAACTGCCGGCACGGATTACTTTTGATGATTTAGGACGACCGAGTGCCAGAGGCACACAAGCCCGCGTATATAATACATACGCGTGGGAGGGGGGATTGTACCGTCGGAGTAGGTCTGGAAGGGTTTGCCTCGCAGCCGCGAAAACACATGGCGCAATTACGGGACGGAGGCGCGCGCAATTGCATCCTGCAATTTACAGGCTGGCGTTGGCTAGTTCGGTCTCCGATGCTGAGCAAGCAGCGTGCGTTATATAGCAACGGGAAATCGACGGAGAGAGAGAGCGAGGAGGGAGCGGATTAAAAAGCGGGGAAACTAGCTGAAAATATATAGAGATTGGCTCCCTCTCTGACTCGTTTTCTTTTTTTTTTTGCCACTGCTGTTTGTTGGAGCTGCTACGCCGATGGGCTAGCGGCGACAAGAGATATGGCTCGGGACAAATGAAAAAAGGGGGGACCTCGAGGTGGTAGATATCGGGAGGAACCAGGAAAAAAAAAATTAAGGTGCATCGGGGCCAGCCCAAACCACCGCCCGTCGTGGAAGGAGTTAAGTCCATCGGTAATCCCCTGACGGATCGAAGGGTGTACCGCGCTGCCGAGCGTTTTTCCTCCAACTGGCTTGGACCAGGGGCTATAGCGATACAAGTACAAAAAGTCCCCCCGATCGGTGGCACTATACCGGATTGGACACGTAGGTGGCTCGAGCCAGAAGGGAAAATTAAATGGAAGGAGTAACGAGGGGTATATACCGTATAGACAAAGCCTCTCGATTGCGGGGCGAAAGAGCATCGGGTGCCAAGTAATTTTGCGCGGATTCTCGCCCCATTGTATAAGAATATCGATCAGACGGCGTAGCCCCGATATCGTGTCTATCCGTTTGCCCATCTACTCCATGGTCTCGAAAGCCTCGGTTGTCGTATGACCACCCCCTTGCACAATAACACGCGGACCGAGAGGCTTAGCTCCGGTTCGTATACGCGCCCTGGTTGAGGAGGAGTTGCAAATAAACTCCGGATCCAAGTTCAATAAGAGCTCTCCGAGTGCACTTTTTGCCGAGATATTCCCCCCGGGGCGAATCGGAATGCGATGGAAAAGTAATTTTCCCCGTTGGCGCGTTTTATACAATTATCCATTCCTCCGCGGTCTATTGAACATCACTCTTTTTTTTCTTTTTTTTTTTTTTTGCTTTTTCCGGCCAGAGTCGACCGGTTTTATAAAAATCGAAAACCCAATCTCCATACCTCCGAGCCAAGAGAGTATATATATATAATATACCTCGAGCGGCCGAAAGGATGATTGGCAGATGTCGAATCAATCGCTCGACTGCTCGCAAGGAGCGCGCGTCCATCTCCCATTTTTTTTCCCTCCACCGGCTTGCTTCGGAGATATATATATATATATATGAGAAGAGGAGAACTTTCGAGCAACGCAAAGTATACTTAAGGCGCGCGGCTTCGGGAGTCCGAGAAAATCGAGGAAGCGAAGGAGCGGGGCACCAACACCGCCACCTAAATTACTGCCTAATAAGACCCTTAAAAGTTCCCAGCTAAACTCAGCGCTCATTTGGGTGACAAGCTCGCCAAAGTTACCAACTGCCCTGTCCCGTTTTCGTCCTTTTTATGTATATATATATATATGTGTGTAACTTTCGGGGACCGGCCCTCGATTTCACTCCGCTATCCGTAACTTTCTTCCTGCAGGTACAACTGCCGATCCGAGTCGAACTTGTTAATCGGCTTATTATAACTCGGGAGGGGGAGAGAGAGACAGAGAGTACCGCGAGTACTGATTCATCGAAGAAAGTTGAGCCGGCAATAAGGACAATAACGGCAAACTCCGAGTTTGACTGCGAGAGGGTGAGGGGAAACAATGGTCGGTGTCTGCCATTGTTTTTCGGTTACGCTATAGGCGGTTACTGTTGGCGGCGCAGTTTCGTAAAATCGTAACTTGCTGGTGACAAGCGCAACTGAACAAAAGTTTTGATTCTTGGAGGTAACCGTATGGTATTACCAAAGACCGTATCACTACGAGATGGCGCGTCCGACTATAATCGCATCGTACTACTTGTTTTGGTCTGATCCACTGGCCACAACGAAAGATACGGACATGTGAGCTTCTCTTACGCTTATAATCGACTAAAATATTCGATTCCCATATGGAAACGGAAATCAATTTGTTTTGTTTCTATTTTCAAACGAGAATATCGTATCCTCCAGCATATATATTATTACTCTTGTTGTTGTAATCTCCTAACGACGGACCGAGTAAACTCTCGTCGCAGTTGGAAGTTAGTTCCAACTCGGCCGTGAAATATTCATCAGGGTCTCAGCCTGCGATCCAAGTGAAAGGGTAGTCCTTTGAGCGCTACTTGAAAACAGCCACTGCTTTTTTTTTAAGAGGAGCAACGAGTATACTCGCGCAGATCCCTCCATCAATAGAGTTAGCAAGTAAGTCCCGTTGAATAATTGCCGCCTGGACGCACGAGAAGAAGGAAAAAAAGAGACAGAAAAGGGGGGAGGGGAGGGAGAAAAAGGCGCGGCAAGTTGACTTGCATAAATTTTCCCAGCACAAAAGGTAGGACATTCTCATTAGGGTAAAAATTGGCCTTGCACCTATATATAAACGTATACACTGCTCTTGGAAGGAGAGTGTCCATACAAAAGGGTGGGGAGGGTCAGTGAAATGCCGCCGTCGTATAAAAC